ATTTGATTAAAAAACAATACTATGTCCTGTTTTGTATCATTGTATCAATTGATTATTTATTCAGTTTCATATTTGGGAATTTAGCAATTATCTCAATGTGTAGTTCAAGTTAAATTTAATTATTTATAAAATTTAAAATTAATACCATCATTATTTACGACTTTGTAAATAATTTATTTGAAAAAAAGGGCAAATTATTGAATTCCAAAATTAAAAAATTATAATTTAAATTTAATTACTTACCTTAATAGACATTTTTTGTGTATTGATGAGACATATAAAGACGAATTTAACTTAAATGAATTGCTACAATTATTACCAATCGTTTGTAAATATAATATATTCCAAAAAAAATTCCACACTATTTATACATTTTAAAACAAAAGTTTCTAGATTTGATCTTGCGAAAGTGTAAGAACTGTTCAGTATATTATGTCTGTAAATGTTTATTAACACTAAGGCTGCACTTTGAATTTTGATCAATACTGGATTATCTCAATCAAATTTTTAACCTTTGCCATAAAAATGTGGATTTAATATAATTAAAAATGTGTACAATATATAAATAATTATCAAGAATTAACCGTGTAAACTCTAGGTATAAATATTAAATTATTAAATCACAATTAATGATTAAAATTCGTACTCGTTTATTTATAATTAAAAAGCATTCGGGCAGATTGATTGTTAGTAATAAATGCTGGTAATTAAAAATAAAAAATACGCCATTATGATAAAATAAAAAATTGTTAACATAGAAAAATGTGTGGAATGAAAATGCTCTTGCTTGTATTCGTAAACAAGTCACAATGAGCATTACAGAAACCTGTGAGATGCAAAATCGTTTATTTTTATTTTTTGCTGTATTATATTTAAATTGACCAAATGCTTAGAAACATTTTCTACTTGGGTATTTGAAATAATTAAAATGAAGTGGATCATTTTAGTATTTGTTTTTGCTTGTAAATAGAAATTAGGTTAATTAAAATTGTTCACTTGTTGATTTTCAAATAAGTAAATATACGATATTATTTTGGAATTTTCTTTTCTCATAAATGTAAATTATTGTAGTATAATGAACCTGCAATAAACAATAATTAAATGTTAACTAAATTTCTTGTTATAAAATTCGTAATGAACTAACAAAAATGAATAAATAAATGAACGGTTATACATTTTTATTTGTCAGTGTTTGATAATATAAATTTTTTTAAATGTATATCCTTTGTGTTGAAAAATAAATCTCGTTTCTTATGTCGGTACATAAATAAATGTTTAACAGGATATATAATTCAATGTTAAAATGCTTCAATAATCCCTTACTTTCTGAACGTCACCCAACCATGAAATATAAATATTTTGTGATATAATATATTTAGTATTAACAAGTACAAAAAATAAAAAATAAAAAAGTGCAAATGTCGAATGTCTTATGGCGATTTACAAAATGGGTTAATATAACAAATATAACAAATAATTACTTTAACAGTAAAAATCAATAATTGATTCATAAAAATCTAGAAGAAGAAATGCAGCGGCAAATAAAAAAAAATACTCAATATCAACATTTATAAATCGTCGTTTATTTTTTATACTTCGAAATTTTGTAAAAGTGAAGAGTTTAAAAAAAAAAAAAATTAATTTAAATTAATTTAATAGATACCGGATTAATAGATTTTTAAATTTAGCATATACATTTACAGCTTTTTCTAGATTGATATTATTAACTTCTAATTTTTCAACATTAAGTACTATTTAGCTTTTCATCAATCATGGTAAATCGTATATAACATAACTCTTTTGAGCTTCAAAAAACACTTTTCATTTGATAGCGTTGTAATTGGTAAAGTTCTTATCAATAAAATAATTTTTAAAGTTTCAATAAAAGCGATAGGAAAATCTTTCAGGCATAGTGCTATGGTGTCCAAATCAACATAATATATATCATATAAATGTTAAAAAATATTTAAAATTTATACAAATGTAATTTATTTCAATAACTGTACATTATTTCAGCAAGGCAGAGACCGATTGGAACTATTTTAAAAGTAAGGGGTACAACAGCATTTTACAAAAAAAAAAAAAAATTGGTAAGTAGTCAAAATATGCAAAATAATACACATCATAGTATACAAAATGAAATATTTAGTATTACAAATTGAATGGTTATCGAATCAATTTTAAATAGGAACATAAATATAAATACTTTTCAGTTTTAATTGATGAAACCAAAGAAAACAGTATAACTGAAAAATTATCAATTTCACATTTCTAAAAACTTAGATTATTTTTATAAATATTGTTGACAAGTTTTTTGCTGCTCATCACAATAGAAAAATAATTTTTACCCAAAAATATTTTTATATTTAAAACTTACTTTGAATTGTATTTTTTATTTTTAAATATTGCTATTAAAATTTTCTTTTAAATGTACGAGGAAATTTACTTTTACAGTATTAACAGTATTCATCAATACATAATCATATATTTTTTTTTTTATTGACAAAAGTATAATTGTTGAGCTTAATACTTCAATAAATTAACTTTCTCTTTATGGTACTCGCAGGCAGAAAATACTTGTGACATGCCTCTTGTATGATCTGCTCTTATATGATTAATTGTTGAGTTGTAGTTCAAATCGATATTTTTCATTTAATAATTATAATATTTTTATACATTACTTGAACACTATTACAAGCAGTTATAGTAAACTTGTATGTATAACTTTTCTAAGATATTTCTACTCTCATTACTAATAATAATCGTAATAATTGTTATATTTCTCACACAAGCACGCTGCGTATGCCATGAATAAGTACAAAACAATACAATACGGAGGTACATATTATCCCTTATTAAACGACTGTTTCCGATCTTCTTGAATTTCACTTATGTTCATATAATTGCCTATATTTTAGGTGTTTTTAAAGTTTGTAGACGATCGGTATTTACAAATGGCTTTCTATTAACAATTTTGTTTAAAATAACTAAAATGAATATAATGTTTTCTCATCTTTACTTGAGTCTAATAATAATCCCGAAATTACATTCAAGTTAATAAATTATTATAAAACTTACTCGAATTAATTTTTTTCATTTGATTTGGATTTACAGTTATTTTTTAAGCTTAGACAGTGAGTTACAAAACTAAAAGCTATCAAACGAAGTATATACTCGTAATTAGATCAGTTATTTGTATGAATGATATTAAATTTCAAAGCTAAAATATTAACAAGTCAATTTATAAAACTATTATTAAAATATAATCTTGATTAGATTTTAAATAAATCGCTAAAACAAGGCAAATAAATATTATCAAAAATGTGTGTAGGATATTTTTAATAATTTTCCATCTATATATATATACATTTTTTTATATATAAAATGTATATTATATATAAATGTATATATTGTATAAATAATATTTATTGAAGATTAATACATATTTCTTGTTTCATAAATTTAATTAATTTCGTGTGCAGTGTAGCATTAAGCTGAATTCCAAACAGTTTTCTTTAGCATTTCTTTCTTGTTAAGAAATCGATATCGCCCACTGACTGTAGACATAAGTACTTAAGTTTTCTTCTTCTTAATACCTTGTTCTTATTATAGCATGTTGTTACTGTAATCAGTGGCGTAACTAGGGTTGTGACCCCCTCCCCCGGAAATTTTTCTGAGGTTTTTACGTAGGAAAAAAAATGGTGTATCTTGAAGATTGATTTTGCTGATTGATATGAAATATGAATATTATTCGTATTATAATTGATAACAATAATAAAATGACAATATGGAACGTTTTGTAACGTTCCGATCAATTTTAAAACATCAGTAATCTAGCTACTACGATTTTTCGATAGTCGATTGTATAATACTTTTTTTTTGTGGTATCACAATATGAAATAGTAGTTAAATAATTTAATTTGTAATTTAAATATTTTACTCATAAACCCAACTTAATCTTACTTCCTTATCCCTACCAAATACCTGCAGAAAATGCTCATTTTTTCCAAATTCATAATTTTGCTTATAAATTATACAATCCAACGTTTTCAATAAATTCAAATAAGTATAAAAACAACCAAACCCACATGTAATCAGTATAAGCACTAATAACTTTACATATTATATGAATTAGAATAGTTAAAAACAAAATATCAAATTATAGTAAAAAAATTTATTTTAAAAATAAAACCACTTTTTTACATTTGAGTTTATAGTCACTTTATTGTTATAAGTATGTTTTTTTCTAAATAATTGATCATTAACGATGTTTATCCTATACCTATACACATTAAATTACACAATGCACATCAATATAATTGTTCACAATAACTTTATTCATAAATAAATATATAATTACTGTATTTACAGTGTTCCAGAGAAACCTCATACTATTATTACAATAATAATTGCTTTGAAACAAATACCCAGCCTTATAAATCGAATGCGTTCATACCACAACCAGTTATAGATTCAATACTATTTAATTATTATTTGGAAATATGTCTTAAAATAATAATTGAGAATATTTGATGTGAAACGTGTAAAATATTGCATCCTATTTTAATAGTACCTATCTTAACAAATAATGCTTTATTTCAGGAACATAAACAAAAATTGCATTACTGTCTACCGATTAAAAAAATAATAATATTATAATAAATTTAATGTATAAATAAATAATAATAATAAAAAAATGATATGATAATTGTAAAAATAAGTTAGAAATAATTGGGTTTCTCTGAAACATGCCACCGTATTTACGCATGTACTTATTATTATCAATATTAATATTACAATGAGCACTGGCTAAAATGTGCGACGTATTATAATTTATTAAGAAATTATTACATCTATTTTTAATACTTAGTTAATAATTATAAACGAATACAATATATTTTCTTTTAAAATTAAGTTATATCACAATACATAAATTAACTTAACCGAAGTATTAACAATTAATTACAACAAGACTAATATATTAAATAATTTAAAAAAATTATTCCTGTTTATTTAGTATAAATAATTAAAAAATAACACCTTCAAATATTTGAGCTAAGACTCCATAATAAGAGACATATTTTGTATGTATATATACTCATATTCGTATATATACTTTTAAAAGAAAATTAAAAACTATTACGTTTCGGTTTTCAAAATGATATATCAGTTAAGTGTTAATGGTAAATTGTACTTGCGGTAGCATTCAACAATAAATATATGTATACACAATTAATCAATTAGGCATAAAATGTATAACTGTTAAATATTTGCGAATAGAACATAATGGAAATAGAGCAGTGCTATATCACAGGATAATCATATCATAAGATAAATCTTGAACAATGATTGCTCCGTAGCGAGAAGATATTTTGGAGCTCGTCACGCCACTAAGCAAATATATTATGCATAAATGTGATTTTATTAAAAAAAAAAAAAAAATGTAATCAACTAAAAATGTGTCCAAAAAACATGTATACCTCGTTTGCTTAAAATTGAAAACTGACTGTTATACATGATTTAAGTAGATAATTATAAATTTAACATACCATTTGGTATTTGACCATTGGTCAAATGATAACAGAATCATTATTTTGTCATTGTAAAAGCGCAAAAACTTGTTAGAGGACTGCAATAATAATTTAAGATCTCGTAATGTTTACGATTAAAATAAAATGATATTATGTTCAACTTAAGCTATGCCTAATACGTGTAGGATTACTATTAAACAAAATTTTTGCTAATTATACGCTATTTTGAATCGGAGTTTATTTTGTTCGAAGTAGATTCAAAACTAACACTAATGATATTTTTTTAACACTAGAAACGAAAAAAATTATATGAAATTTGAAATATTTTTATGTGTTTGAAATAAAAAGAACGTTGTATATGTCGTAACAATATTGTGTCCTTCGTAACATAATCAATTCGTGAAGGTCTCTGCAAAGTATTACGCTGATGGACAATTCAATAGATTAAAGACGAACGTACTTCTACGTGTTTAATAATGTGTAATACGTACATACATATCGAGTCAAGACCGGGCACACAATATGCGGCGTATGTCAATCAATATAATAATATATCTAAAAAGAACTTCTATTAAATTGCGTCCGTTAACGTAATAGTCTGCAGTGATACGTATATGTTATATATTACATGGAGACTGCAGTATTCACCGTAAATAAAACATCTCTTAATAGCAATAAGCGTACGAACAAGTGAGAGACTATTATTCAAACTGTATCGATAACACTTGGACCGACCAACTCGCACGACGTCCTTTTGTTGCAAGTCGTGCGAAAAAAAAATCATATGAGTACTGTATATAAGCATTAGGAACAAACGAAATTGTCTAAAATTTGAGGCCGCGTACCCGGTCGACTCGATAGTTTTAGATGGGAAATGTTGATTGTTGTTTTTTCTGTCCGTTAAAATTGCAATATTTGATTGATCCAGTCTTTGAACTTTGAAATTCTCGTGTACACGCCGGGTTGGTTTGGTTCGGCGCAACCGATTCCCCACGATATGATACCGGCCAGTATCCATCTCTTATCGGGTCTTTGAATTACCATCGGGCCACCGGAATCACCCTAAGTGCATAGCATTTTTCAATTTACCATCCAACTGCTCGCAATAAAATAATAACACAAAAACAATAATAATCGATCGCTGTACTCACTTCACACGAATCGAAACCTCCTTTTTTCCAACCCGCGCAAATAAATATGTCTGGTATGTGTTCGATGTATCCTGCTGCGCGGTACATGGTTTCGCAAACCGAGTTGTTAATCACAGGAACTGTCACTTCTTGTAGAACACTGGGTAAAGGTCCGTCTATATAGAGAACAATGATAATTTTTTTTTTTTTTTAATTAGGTATATAATATCACAATGATACGTATGATACGTTATAAGATTAATTCTTTGGTTCAAATAGTTTTAAAAACGTTTTTATGAAATACGTCTAAGTACGTTGATTGTTTAAATTAATTTAAATAAAACCCGATCAATGATAAATATTTACTCTACATCATTGATCAATATTTGATTAACAATCATTTTTTGCCTTGTCGGGTTAATTCAGGCCAAGAAATCTAATACTAATAATTAAAATCAATTATATACGTTTTCTCGGTGATAGTCAAAATTATTTCTTAACTGCATTATAAATCACAAATTGTTCGATTTAATAAACATCCATAATAAATTAATCGTATTAATTATCGTTTAAATATTTTTTTTCTTTTAACACTGGAATACGTTTTACTATTTGGATTTAAAATTTGCGGAAAAATTATAATTTTTGTGTAGTGGAAGTAACAAAATATTTTATGCTGTTATAAATTTATAATTTATTGATTTTCTAGCGGTTTTTTGAAAATATTACCTTCGTATAATCTTCCCCATCCTGTGACATAAGCAGAAGACCCTACATGGTTTGAATCATCGTCTGGGACGCAAACAGGTATGATATTGGGCTGGAACTTGACTGGTTCGTAAAATCGCAAAAGTGCTAAGTCATATTCAAAAGTTCTCGGATCGAACTGCGGATGCGAGGCGACGATTTGTATTCTCCGTTCTTCATAGCCGTAAGGTTCTTCTTCTACAGACAAGTCGTGTTCACCAAGCCTAAGTAGTAAGTCACTCGGAGGGACGCTAAGCAATCATAAAGACAATTTGGTAAGTACACATTTTATTGTGGAAACATGTTATTATGTATTTTATATGGCAATATGTATTTACTTTTCAACACAATGTGCAGCAGTTACCGCCCAATTTTCATTGAATAACGCTGCTCCACATTTGTGTAAGTATGTAGACGTTCTCCATTGTCTTAACGAAATCTTTTATTTTTTTAAAAAAAAATTATTATTAATTAAAAAGTAATTATTTTTATTTCTCACGTGCGAATCAATTTACCTGCCACGGCCACTTGCCGAATGAAACTTTTTCACCTCCCACAATTCTAGCTGTAGGGAACAGTCGTCTACCGCAAACTTGATTTTAACGAAAACATGAGATTAGTTAGTACATTTCATATTAATACGCATCGAAATTAATTACCGTCTTTATAGTTGGACATGTTCAGTGGAGCGTTTGCGGCTTCAACAGAATCTGTTACTGTTGTCGGCGGAGGAGTTGTAGTAGTAGTGGTCGTTGTTGTTGTTGTTGGTGTTGTTGATGTTGAAGTTGGCATTAGCATAGATAGTGTACTCGAAGAATAGTGTACGCTATTGGTGCTTGTATCAACGTTATTTGTGGCCATAGCGATGTCGTTGTCGGATATGCTCTGGACAGTGCTCGGCTTTGATATCAATGTTGAGGAGTACGGATAAGTGGTACTTTCTTTGTACGGTGTTCCTGAAGCGTTCGGCTCATGCGTTTCAACCGCAGGAAGTTTGACCCAGGAAGGAAGCGTTGAACCGTCGACGCCTGACGATGGCTTGTACGTCACTGAAAGAGCGATTACATTTATGGAAACGTTTTATTTTTTTTTACATTTATTTTTTAATCTTCTAACAAATTACATAAAATTTGATAACTCACGGTTCGGTGGTTTCGTGCTCTCGGACGGTACCACGGGAACTTTGTCGAGAGTTGTCCAAGTGACCAACGTGGGCGAGGTAGACGTCACGGCGGTGGTACTGCCGTAATGCGGTGACGTGTAACCGCTGATCGTTGGGCTGTTCATCGCGGCGGTTGTCGCGGAAAAGTTGGCAATTATTTGGGTGACGTTCTCCACGGTCGAACGGGTCGCGTAGGAAGAGCCCGTAACGAACTCGGTAGCGGCGGTGGACGAATGTTCCGCGGGCTTGGCGGAGGAAGACGGTTTCGGTTTTACCGTTGGCTTAGCTGTGGTGTGCGGTTTGACTTTCTGCGGAGACGACGCGGACGTCTGCGACGGCGACGGGGACGACGACACCGGTGTAGTCGATTTGTACGTAGTGCTCGACGGCTTGATCGCAGGCCTAGACGTGGACAGCGCGGCGTTGGTCGTGGAGTTGGATGGACGCGGCGTGGTGTAAGAGCTCGTGGATGCGGCGGGTCTGGTGGTCTCGTGGCCGGGCGAGTACACGACGGTGTTGGACGCGGTCGAGCTGGGCACGCTGAACTGGACGGTCGGCCTCGCGGTCTGAGGCTTGGGCTTCTGGACGGTGGACAACACCGGGTCCTTGACCGGCGGCTTGTACGAGCTGGGCTTCACCGCGGGCTTGGCCGTGGAAAACGTGGTCGAGGGTATGGGCTTGGTCGAATGTGATATCGTGGTCGTGTACGACGACGACACCGAACCCGGTGTGCTGCTGCTCGCGAACGTGACCGTGGGCCTGGCCGTGCCCGTGGTAACCGTCGACGGCGCGTGCTCGGTGTACTGGTTTCTGGACGTGGACGTGGACGTGGTAGACGACGTGGACGACGACGAAACGGCGAATTGGGCGGTGGGCTTGTAAGAAGACATAAACGTGGTGGTCGGCGAGCTATGAGCGCCGTATCTGTCGGTGGTGGTCGAGTGCTGCGCGCCGATTTTGATGTTGGACGACGCCGTCGCCGGCGGACCGACCACGTCGTTGTCCATGTTGTTCAGGTAATTGTCCGGTTCGTTGACCTCGACGTCGGCGTTCGATTGGGTCTTGCAGCAGCTCCCGAAGTAGAACCGATCGATGCAAGTGCCCAGGTGCGTGCCGTTCACTTTGGCGCACGAGTACGCGAACATGCAAACGCCCGTCTCGCCGGTCCTCCGGCTCACGCACGGCAGCTGCCTGATGTTCCGTCCGAAATCTGCGGAGCAACACCGTTAATCGTGAGAAGAACATTATTGGCGCGTCCGACGCACAACACCTGTTGTTTGTCTAACGGGCAAGCGGCGAACGAGAGCGGTTTGTCTACGGATGTTCCTGATTGTCGTTCATGTCAACCGGATCCGTCATATCATTACGATATTTACGCGCTTTACAATGACAGTGGCGTATCTATGTGCAGGCACCGTAAGCACGTGCAGGCAAACTTCAAGAATGCATTTTGTTATTGATCATACGTATAAAAATGGTTCGGATCTTAGGAAATCATGTTTTAGCGTTTAAACGAAATTTGTTTTGCATATTTACCCAATTCATACATATATATTTGATCGTAAGCAATTAAACGACGATTCCGGTATACTCTGTTTTAATTATTTAGAGCGGCGATTTTCCACAGGGTTACGCGCGGTAAACATGTGAATAAGCTCCAGATAACGGACGCGGTGTCCTAGAGAATTAACGCTGGTTACACTGTTTAAATATGTACGAATCTGGAGGCCAATCTTCAGTATCGGCCTCCAGTACGCTGCTGGAATTCTATATTACATAGGATTACTGAATTATAAATTATAAGGTCTGAGGAATGTGTGTGATTCGCGTGCGAATGCGTTCTGCATTAGCCCTCGAAAACATTTTTACAACCATTAAAAATTATGAAACTATAATAAATTGTTCTGATAAAAATACTAAATATGAGGTACGAGAAACGGCGAAGTTTGTAATAAATTATCAATGTTAAATTATTAATAGAAATCTGTTGATTGTGTGAATAGAACGCATCGTCCAGGGGCGTCATTTCAACTTTTGAAAGGGGAAGGCAACTGATTAAATTTGCCGACTTCATAATATTTAAAAAATTATGGTTACCTATATATTTAAATATTTAATATTTATGGACGATACAACAGGGGCGTATTTAGATTTACTTCTTGGAGGAGCAACTCAAATTTTTTCTTTAATTTAGGCTCGAAATTTACAAATATAATTTTTGGTAATATTTAAATCAAGTGAGTCCTTAATATTTATGGTTTTTATTTTTTTTTTTAATCTAATGTCGGATCCTTTTAGAATCGAATGTTGTGTAATTATTTTTAACACCTGTCTGTTTTTTGAAAGTTACGCTTGTATTTTAATTGATTTTTCACTAAATATGGACCCGACAAAAAGCCCAATTCAGTATTCACAGCCACGCGTAATTTGATTTCGTTATAAAATGATCCACATTAAAAAAATTTGAATTGTGTATCTCACATATAATAAATTCTTTAAATATGGATTGAGGGGGATTGCCCCTTCACCCCCCCCCTAAAATACGCCCATGCGATATATTATCAATAAAATATTTTTTCGAAACAAAACATATAAGGATTACTAATGAATAATGATGTCATAATGAAAAACAAAGAACATGAAATGTTTCAATTTACCCAATTAAATAATAACATTAAAGATAGGTAGTAAAACATTAATTAATTTACTTGTCCTATAGGTTATAAGTTACCTATCAATAGGTTTAATTGAATAATAATATAAATCTAATCAAATAAATACTTACAATTTTATATTTGTATATTTAATACTTCGCAGAACTTATTTATAAAAACACAAAATCGTGTTTCAAATATAATCTACCGTAGTTTGGGGTGAATAGGAATGATTTTCACGGTTTTTTATAGATTATGAGCTAAATTTTTATGGTATCGATATCACGAAAACGGTTTTATAAATATCACATATTTAGAAATATATACCGAAAATTAAGTTAATAAGGTTCGCGTAATAACGATTGTCATAAACTGGGAAGGAGCCAGTGTTTCCAAACTTTTAATAAACCGTGAACGTGTATTTAAAAGAGAATATTATCTGATTTCTGAGTACAAAATAGTAAATTAAATTTTACTATTTACCGATTTTAGCATTTGATCATTAGACAAAGAATTTCCCACTTTTTTAAATTTTCTTAGAATGGGGTATTTGCCATAGTCTGCCCCCCTTCAAATGACGCCCCTGGCGTCTTTTAAGGAAAATAATCACCATTACATTTTTCCAGAGAATAATTGGGTGTCAAATTAAATGCATATACTTTTTAATTAAATTATTAAAAAATCTGTAAGTTATACGAATCGTTTTAACTGTTTCGATAAAAACACACATTTATATTTAATCTCGTCCGTGCGGTACCGCTTAATACGAGATTATGGATTATAGTCAACTTTGTTTTGATCCTAACGTTTAAAACAATTATATTATTCTTTATAAATTTATTTTACTTGTTTGTAACGAACCTATATAATACACATGCTCGATTTATATAGGATCAAAACAAGTTTAATTTTTTTTTCTTGAATTAGTTTTTTTTATATGTATCTCAATGGTTGTATAATGTATCATATTACTCCATTGTGATATATTTTTTTTATTTATATATATTTTTTTGATTGTATAGAAATATAAACGTCGTCAACGTACCAAATAAAAGTAAGCGAAAAAAAACAGACAGTGTATATAGTTATAAATATCGAGTGTGCAATAATGTTATTAAATACCAATTTCGATTGCAATGGCGTATGGTAAAATTAAGCTTTTAAAAACGAACGTACGATATAGGAAAAAATAATTCGTCGGGTTCGATCAATGTGTGATTTAACCGAGATGAAATTAAAACTACGCCGATTAATATTTAATCACGTTATATCGGTCACTGAATGTAATAGACGGAACGTTTTGCTATTTATTTATCGTATGGCATATTCAGACACAGTAACGTACTATAATATACAAACATTGTTGATGGTACGTAAGGAAGTAGACAATTTTCGGTTCGCGAGGCATAAAACGGGAAGGAAAAATAAAAGCAATAACGAATTTTCGGGTTTCCGACCGCGGGAAGAATGCGGTTCCCGTGCCTTAAATTAGGCCAGTGTTGGATGCGCGCGCGTTATTACAACATTGTGTTTTAGTGTTTTATGATAAATATCCGAAAAACACACATAATAGTGTAGTAATATGGGCGATGCGCATAGGCATCCTGACTACTGCACAACGTGTTGGAGTAGACAATGGGCTACAGTTGTGTCTGGCTAGTTTGTAGGTCAGTAGATTGAGAGTGTAATATATACATAATGTGCGCGCAGCTCAAGCGTTGGCGCACGCGTGTGTGTTTATGTGTACGTACGTGTATGTGTGTGTGTGCGCTCGCGCGCGTGCGTGCGTGTGTGTGTGCGTGTCTGTACGTCTGTGTGTATGTTTTGATTAACAGTTATCTTGTCTTGTATTGTGCCCACAAAAAAAAAAAAAAAAACAAACCCGTACCTATAAAGGTAGTGGAAAAACAAGTTTTTTAATGTATGCGCCAATGTTCAGCTTGCATTGTCCGCATAGTTGTGTATCAAACGTGATTTTACTTTGCTTCCGAGAGAAATAAAAATGCAAGACGATTGACGTTCTACTTAAGAGTTCGATCGCTGTAAATTATAATATTAGGTCCGCGGATACACGTATTATCGTTGCGCATTATAGACGCGGCGCGTGTCACAATGTTTAAACGAACTGCGTGTCGACACTGTATTGGATTGGCCTCGCCGGTCGCTATTGGGTTTTCGGTTTTCGAAAATTCCGAAAATCGTTCTTTAATATTGTTCTCCTACAATCCGATTTTTCTAGCGCGGGACCGTCGACGTCGAACGCGCGTCACCGCAGAGCACGCGGTATTACCGGCACTCGGTGGTTGTTACTTCCGTAGGCACGCCATCTGAACACGAGTTTTAATGAACTGTTCGCGCATAATGTCGATCAGGTCACACAGATAACGCACTCTTCAGACATGATCAAACGATGTATTGATGTATAAATTAAACAACTATGATTTGCTAAAATTAACAATCGAAACGTCCGCCGAGATTTTGATAGATAAACCAGGCGTATACGATTTCGTCGACGAAAATTACGAAGAATTTATCATAGACGCGCGAGTGCACATATGGTAGTACCGACCTAATGACTCATTCCTAACTGTTAACACCGTTTATTCATTCCTTCCTAGGACTATTATTCACTCTATTATTACATACGATGTATACCTACGATGGGTATGAGTTGTTACTAAAGAAAGTGTCATCAGCCATGATGATGACACTTTCTTAAAAACTCGTTACATTACATGTTGTATACATATTGTATTTAAGTACCTTTAAAACATTTTTATCCTTCATATGTTAAATGAAATCTAAATGATTCTGCCTAGGTAAGGTGTTCCAATCAAAAATGATAATTGTTAAATAGCGTTCAACAAAAAGTCAAGTTACAAATGATAATAATACATTATTTTGATTCGACTAAGGTTGCTCGGTCAACATTATTAAAACGCCGAGTGTTTGTTTTTAAGAATTGCAAGGCTGGGCATTAACGAGTTAAAAGTTAAAATTAAGTTAAAACGTGAGTTAATTTTAATTAAGTTAATTAACTCGTTACTTTTTTTACAAATTAACTTTTAACTTGTTAAGTTACTTTTTTTTTTAAGATTAACGTGTTAACTTTAAGTTAATTTTATTTAAAAGTATCTAAATTAAATTAATTTTAGTACAAAGAATAATGCAAATTATTAAATGAGGTTTTTAGTAAATTTAAAATTTACTATTTTGATATGAATTTCCTGTAAACGAAAATAATATGAAAAATAACTTTAATAGTCATTATATGGGATATATTTTAATATTATATTTTTATAACATTGTTATTGTATAAACACTATAAACCCATGAAAATCCTAAGATATTCTGTGAAAATAGTAAATACCATGAGAGCGAGTGTCAATGGGGCATTAATCACAAAACAACTGTGTTATAATTTCCAATTTAATTTCATTATTCAACTAGCATGTGGTCTGTTCACATCTCGTTAAAATTTATAATATATATTGTTATTAGTTTATTACTTTATTAGCTTATTATATTTCTGTGAAAGTTAACTATTTCTTTATTAATTAATTAGTTATTAATAGTTATTAATTAGCTAGTTAATACTTTTATGTAGCATTTTAAATTTCCCCAGTAATTTTCTTGAGCATAAAAATACTAATATTATATGTGCAATTTTTTATTTTTACAAATTAGAAAATTTTAACTTTAAACTAAGTTAAGTTACTTTTTTCAAAATTAACTTTTAACTTAACGAGCTAATGAAAAAAAGTATAAGTAACTTTTAATTCAACTTAACTTTATTATTTTAAAATAACTTAACGAGTTAAAAAAAATTGTTGAATTGCCTAGCCTTGGAGAATTGTACCTCTGTTTTCGTAATTTTTTTCGACAAAACTAAAAGTAACTAAAAAAAAACAATTCTTACTCTTTTTTAGTATAATTCAATTTATATTACACATAGTCATATGGATCCCATACAATTTATATCATAATTTAATATTTTCCTATTTATATATTTAGAAATTGTATACAATTTATTTTATCACAATTTACTAACTGTTAAAATAATAGATTATAAAACTTTTCATCAAAGTATAAACTAACCTATTTTTAAAATAAATTATTTTATAATTTTTATGATTTAAAAATAATCCAATCATCTACAACATAATTGTGTCAGACACCTTGCATAGGCATGGTAGAAGTGTAATTTACATGCGTGATTTAAATATAAATTCAAAATTGTGTCTAAAATAATTTTTATTTAGAAATTAGAATTGAATATGAAGTTATGATATTATTCTTATTACTATTATTCTAATCTTTATATCATTGTAAACGGGATGATAAAATAGACAGTGTACAAGAGGATAAAACGGTGAATACACGACTTTTAAAACCATGTTGTAATATATTCATTAAAAATTGACAGACAAGTGACCATTGTACTGATATTAGTTAATAAATTTGTTAAGCCTAAGAGTAAATTAAATGTTACTAATTTATTAAACTTTCATATAGTAGATGCTATTAATTATAATTTTTAAATGAACACGTTTTACTTTGAATTAAACGACGAAGTAAAAATGATGTACAGTTAACTATGATAAAAATATTTCCATAATATACTAACAACATAGTTTATTAACAAAATTTTTATACTACTATAGTTATTATGAATTAACTATGAACTAAAAGAGATAGTTTCAGATTGAATAAGTATGGATTTTATTTAAAAAAATATAAATTTTTTTATAGCAAAGTTTTATACTTAGTCATTTTTGAAACTGTTGTTTTTAACTCAACTTAAAAGTTAAATGTATTAACAATATATTATTATTTAAAATATTTATTTATAAAAGACCCTCAACAAAAATGTTAAACATGATTAGAGATCAAATTATAATCTTTGAGAATTAATTCATAAATTGTATTAATACCTTCTTAAAATCTCAAATTTTTAATGTAATCATAATTGGTTATATAATATACTCGTACGTAAAGTTTTAATACAGTTTTAACATAGTAAATTCCTTTTAATAATGGTTAACGTTTAACAAAAAAGTAGTTTGTAAAAATACATTTAAAAGAATACAAATTTATTTCAAATTTCCATAGACTAAAATTATGCACACGCATATTGTTTTTACAGATACTAGCTATGTGTTATACCTTATTAACGGTTTAAAATAGTATGAGGTATAAGAATAAGAAATGTAATTATAACATTATTCATAGTATATTTTGACCAAGGTGAACGACCTAGTGTTAGATGATCAAATGCGTTAAGAAGAAAAAAAAAATAACGTCCGTATAATTATATCGTAATATATTTTTTTCTTTAATTTTTATCAGTGCCAAAATACTTATTATTTATATTTGCTTGAATTTTGATGTATAATTTTTCCAAAACTATTATGATGTAATTAATCTAATCATTAAAGTTAAAAAAAATTATAAGTCGAATTTACAATATTTTAATTGTAAAATAGTTGTGATAACTATTTGATATGTAATTTGAATTGTTAAAAGTAAATGTAGGCATACTTAATTACCCGTATATAATATGCTAACTGTAACATTGGCAACATTTTAAATTTCTAATAATAAAGTTATTTCTGCATAGTCGCTTACCTGTTATTGTGCTTTGTGTGTCCCATGAGGGATAGGATTTCACCAAACTATTGCTGATGATCACTCCAACCATGTAGATCATAAATAATAGTGTTTTATCGGATGAGGACTTCATTGGTGAACAATTGCCATGACTCTTCATTCTAAGTATACAATTAAACATTTCAATCAAACATTCTACAACATACTATTATATAGTTTTAGGTTATATCATACAATTGCCCATGATTTAATTTAGTGGGTGATTACGTCTAGTACCTATTTTCGACATCAATCTGTTTTTTAATTGGGTATAGACTCGTACATATTTATAAATACAATATTTATTGATTAAATTTTATTTATACTTGTAAGGTTTTTCAAAACAACTAAGATAATAGGTAATAATAATATACCATTACTTAATATTTAGAATAGTGAAGTGCCCAAGTAAAATAACTTAAGTACTACGGTGTAATAAAATATTTTAGTACTAATTATTTTTTAGGATATTAACGTAGGCGTATTTTATAGATTGTAAATAAATAATTATATGTGTCAAGTTAAAGAAAATAAATAATAATATTGGATACCGGAGGTCCTATCGTTTTGTCTTAAGACAGTGCAATATAATGTTTACATATTCGTAATAAACTGATTGACCCGATATCTTCCTATAGTTGTAGTACTTTTGAATCTTATTGAATTAACGTTTTTACTTTTGACGCATAAACGAAATTTTTGTAATGTACAACACACAAAATATACATTAAGACATGTAGTTTTCATACATAGTTTTAATAAATCATATTAACTTTAACTAAATTGGAGAACATAAAGCCTCCGCCGAGTTACATTGTTTACAATCTACATTGTTCATAGCCAACACAACTGTCAAGTATTTTTCCATTGTAGTATGTATAAAAGGCCGTAAAAATAAAATAATTTTTTCGTACACTATACACTATCAAAGTTACATTTTGTCTAATGGTTAATACGCTTAATTATAATAACTATTGTTCATATACAATTCGCGCAATTTGTGATGGCGGAAGAAAAAATATATATAATCGTGTATTTAAGTCTCATGGCACCAAAGTTTCATCGTACTATAACACACTGTAACAGCTTACTTCACATTTGTACCTATAATAATACTGCGACAGGTAAGTTGTGTCTTAAAACCATAACAATTATCAAAATCGTGTTCGAATGTTTTTCAATCTTGAAAAATACCCAACGAGGATGAAGTATCATTCTGTTCACACCATACAAATTCACTTTGTTTAAAACATGTGAATAATTTTTTTAAACTAACTTGGTGGACTATTTCTGAGAAATAATGCGTCATAGATGTATAAAAAATATCTAGCGGAAAATCAATTGCATCCTTAATCTTTTTACATTAGGAATTAAACCATGCGTAAAATGTAAGTCTATATATACATCGTTCTACTGCGACGAAGAATTTGAAAATAGGACAATCTTTTTTTTTTTCATTCGACTCAATCGAATCGAAGTTATAACTACTACAACTCGATATATTTTACATTTTACGGAATAGTTCGAACACAGCACAAATATATTTATACAACAACTAAGTAACCTCTGCACATACTCAGATATTGCACAGACGAGTGTTAAAAATCGACAAGAAAAGTGTTGCAACTAATATCGATAACTTTAAAAGTACAAAACTATCGCCACGAAGGCAAAGAAAAGTATGTACTATTATTGTACATTGTACACTCATAATATTTCATTATTTCGAACACTTAAAAACTAAAAAAACGCAAAAAATAAATATGTATACGGACAGGTATTAGATAGGTGGTACGCATACTATTATAATGTCAATCGCGTAAAATAGCAACAAAGGCGAAACCGCAGATGGGATATTACTGTAATTATTAATATATGTGTTTCACCGTGGCACATGGCCCATATTATTATGTCACTGTGCATATTCGAAACTTATCGCTATGGTAAAACCGTGTACGGTGTTTCTGTATCTACGTATGCACCCGTATGTCGTACTAATTGTGTTTGGATGGTTTTATAATATTCTAGGACCAGAGCGTGTGCGCACAACAATGGATTAATTATGTAGGACACTGTATAGGTATTTGTGAATTTCTTGTCATTTTCATTTTAAAAACGCACTTTGATTCTCAGAGGGATGTCCGTCCGTCCGATACAATCTAAAGGATGACGTAAAGAAGAATGTCGAAAATAAGACGTACGGAAAACATTGTATTTCATTTGATTTATTTTAAGTGCTTTATAAATGTATTTTTAATAATATTGTATACGGTGTACTGTACTGAGAGGTACGTTAATTATTAAATTATGTTTAGATCTTAGATGTGCACTGTGAAATCGAAAAAAGGTAAAACATTCACGTTGTTGTAATGCACTTTAAAATATTTAGTATGTGCTATCTACTAGCAACCCCTGATGGACACCCTTATCGCAGCGGTCAATGAATAAAAACTGTATTTCGTCACCGCTCATTTCAAACGTAAACTACCTACGAAAAATGATTTTATGCGCTACTTATTAACAATTTTAATTACTTTTAGAATAGCTGATACTAGATAGTAGATAATAAAAATGTGTACAGTATCGTCTGAATCCGAAACATAAGGTTTATGTATAATTATAAAGAAGTGCTTTATACATTTACGAGGAAGATGTGTCCAATTTAATCATTTTAAATAGCGTAATTTTTTTCTCAGTTCAGCACGGTATAATTTTAGATTTGATTTATAAAGAAATTATTAAAAAACGTATATGAATAGTTTATTATTATTTACAGCAATACTTTTTATGAGCAAAATTGAATTACGAAAACATTTATCTATGTATAATGAATAACTTTAGCAATTCAAATTGCGGGAAAAAAATCTACCGTACAACAACAGGTACACGATTTATAAAACCTGTATCCAACCAACTATTCATAAATAACGCATCGACTATATAGATATTGATAGAATTAACGTAAGCCATAAGTTTTAATTGACAATATATGTGCATCACGTATTTCAAAAATGATATATTGGTTCCCGACTGGTAGTTTGAAAAATTGTGTGCGCATGCTATCATTTCTAGACCACCAAAACTATGGCAGAAAATCATAAAGAACACCGAAAGTTGAAAATGTGGCTTTGTACACTTATAGTATAAAAAAACTTGAAAAATAAATAACTATCCATTCGAATCAGACGTTCGTTGTAGTATGAATTTGCGAAATGTACTTGTGCGTATACGATTTTATTCGGCTTTATGTACGCATATAGAATAGGAATAAAACGTTTTAATACGGGTAATAGTTGTCGAAGGCGGTACATGTTCTACGTGGTCATTATTGTCGTTTGGATAACAATAGTCGAATTAAATAAATTGGATTATCTACGGACAATTGTACCCCGTTAGTATGAATTATAGGAGTGTATTGTGCCTTGAGCATTATGGTACACGCACAGGTCAGATGGTGTGAGAAAAAGACATAATATGTTATACTATCTTGACTCTAGAGTGTAATGCACGTAGTCATTGTTTACCAATTCATCCACGATCGACGCTATTATACTTTCCATATTATGCTTTCTACGCGAGCTTTGGATTCCTCTCTGATGAATAATAGCGAGTTCGTGATCGTGGAAATTTTTTAGAAAACTTTATAGTTTACGTTAAACATGACGCATAAAACATAACCCACACGGGTGTATGCGTTTTATGTCACTTTTTCGTTAAACGTTTTGCGGATACAACCGCATACACCGGAAACACAGAAACTAGACGTAACGCTGGTACATGTTATGAGTATTACGACGCATAGGTCGAATATTATGTCCATTAGGTTTCTAGGTCAACAGTTAAGAACGGTGAAAGTTTCTTCCGTCACATACGTGTTTAAAATTTTTTCCTACTCGGAATTAACGCGAGAAAAATGCAAGCAACCACGCCAGTAATATTTTTGGATATTGAGTCACGAATTAGCATTATTTAGCAATTTCTGTCGTCTGTGTTTCATGAGAGACGACATAACTGTAAACGTTTAACAACTAGCAGGAATGACCCCATGAATACTAATTTGTTTTTGCGGTCAAGTTATAGCACAGAAAAATTAGTTATCCGCTAAGAAATGGTATTATGATTGAATCGCATATTATGCACGTGTAGAAAAAATGTAGGTATTATTAATTTTCTTGAAAACGTTAAATAAATAACTTTTTGTGGGATAAATTACGTATAATACGAATGCGATTCTGAAAAAATTGTTATCCATTGGCAGGTAGATTATATATGGGTATATATAGACACTATTCTAAAAAAAAAAAATCGTGATAATACAATTCATTTTATATTAATTAATTGTATTATTTTATATTAATTTTATAATTAATGAAGTCAAAAAGAAATTTTATTCGTCGATAACGATCTGTTTGAGTTGTTGAAATTAAAGTTTTAAATCGAATTATTGAATTAAATCAAAACTCTAGAATTTGCGATTAAGTTAACAGTACCTGCAGGAACGTTAAGGAAAAAACCAAAAATATTATCGATTGCCTGTGAACTGAGATATTACAAACAAAATTAAAAATATATCCTGTGTTCTTAATATTGTTTTAACATTAATTTTATTCGTAATTTAATTTTCTTTTCTTTATCATTCTCCGCCAGTAAGCAGAATATTCTCTGTAAATAAATCAACAAGATACTAGCGAACTGGTGTTGTGGGACAAATATATGTGATCGTTTGGAATGTTAATGGATATACCTACGTTTGCTGCACGAGATCCGTGAGGAGAGACTAATAATTAAGAAGGCGAGCCGTTTGCCAGCGAAAAAGTAGAATAATTACGTGTACCCGTTCGGATAGTACAACAGCGACGTACATCCAGACCAAAAGTCCTTTCCTAGTTTTCGAATAATGTTGAAACAACAATAATCGAAGCGCTCGTGTAATAATTATAACTGATTTGTAAATATACCGTTTGAAACGTCATTATGTTAAAAATACCACAATGCCTGATGTATGCTTGTACTCGCAGAACAGTAATGAATACGTATCGAAGCAGCTAGTGATTATATAGTTATAATATAGATATAATATTTTATACGCACCATATTATATATAAAATTCGATCTCGTGACC